TCTTTCCCTGCCCATCTCAAACCTCATGAAGCAGAAACAATTTTGCTGCCCAGTGACACTCCTGTGCCCCTACCAAGGACCGGGCAGAGTGCAGTCTCCAAAACACTAAGCTTTATTTTCTCCAGTTTTGCACAGTAGTTTACAAACATCCACCAAGAAGAAAATCAGGATCATTAGATATTCAGGGGAGGGAGGATTAGGAAGAGAGAGAAGCAGCCACCCATTAAAACGTGCCCCTTTTTAACTCCTCACCTCTACTAGGAAAGTATCCAATTATTTCTTAAATGACCCTGATATTTTTTGCCTCAGCCTCCTTGCCTGGTTAGCCATTTCACATATTTATTATTCTTTGCATGAAATAATACTTCCTGACATCTGTTCCCAGTTTGTTTCTATTTAATTTCCATTTATAGCACATTTTCCTATCCTCTTACCATGTTAAAATAAAACAATAAGTATGTTTGACATGGTGCAAGTTACTTAAGATCATGATCCTTCCCTGACCTTGATTTTATTATTTTTTTTAAACGTGCTCTAAAACACAGAAAAACATTTTAATGAACTTTGATGAAAAACGAAGTGGAAAGCTCAAAGAGTCGGCAACCACTCAGCATTTCACACCTGCACCGTCAGCCGGTTACCCGGGGACCGGCATGAGGATCAGTTGGTGGTTACAGTCCAGTCCCACTCTGACAAGTATCAGCCGGAGGCAGATGGGGAAAGCGAGGAGCTGTAGGCTGCACAGTCCCTCCATGAGACAGAGGGGAGAACCAGGTGGCTGCAAGAGATGAGGTGGCAGTGGGACAGGCATGGGAAAGGAAATGTTAATTCCGAATGCAGTCATTCAAATTGGCTTGGGTGATGCTTTCCCTTCTGACCAGGCAGATTGGAAAAGGTGCCCTTCCCTTGCTCTGAAGAGAGAGTTTGCTTCCAAGTACAATCTGGCAAATCCACAAGCAATAAATTCACAAGGAGAAGCAATGAGGAGTACTTTAGTTATGGCACAAGAACATTTTATGTTGTCATCTCTATCTTGGTACAAGCCCTCAGTATAATTTTAGCTCAGGAGGAGGTTGCTTATGAAGCTAAAATAAAATGGAAAGAATCAATGTAGCCTCCAACCAAATGTGTGTGCATGCCTTCCGGTTAAGTAACAAAGCAAAACAGCGAGCCTGTGTCATCTCCAGCTGGTCCATCACCATTTTACAGACTATCAGGCAGTTCTCTGGTAGGGACTACCATGCTCCATACAAGCATTAGCCCGCTCAGAACAGCTCCTCCATGTCCTCCTGCACTGATAAGCCAGTAAGTGTGGTTATACAGCCTGTTCTGAGAAGGCCGACAAGGTTGCACCCCTGAACAGAAACATCTGAAACAGAAAACATTTCTGCTCAGTCCTCTTTAGGCAGAAGGATAGCGGTTGCTCTGCAGTTTGGCATTATGGCAGAGAGATGTGGGTGCCTGTGACAGCCAAGAGCCACAGCAACCTGGGCAGTTCAGATCGTGGTGCCCTTTATGCGCCCTATCAGCCTCTGGAAGCTTTCTTCACACAACTATTTTATCGATAGGGCTTTAGCCTGCCAGGTTGCCAAGAACGTTTTCCTTTTACCCGAATTCCAAGCTGAACAGGCACACACTAGAAACCCTGGGTTTAACCTGGGGCTTTTTTGAGGTCAAGACAAACATCATGACAAACGGGACTAAAAGCAGCCAAGTTAAACTACGCCCTGACAAAGCACCGTCCTCTCAAACACAGCATGCAGCTCAGTGCAAGGGCTGTACCATCACAGCTTGAGAGCCAGAAGGCTGTTGAGGGTGGACAGTCTTTGGGGAAGCAGGTCAGAAGTGGCTTCGAAGGCTCGCCAGCAGGTTGCTGGATCAGGCACATGCAGGAGGGCTGCTCCTTTTGGGAAACCAGCATCTCCCACCACCCAAGAGATGCTCCCCTGATTGTCCCCTGGCTCCCCATGGCGTCGGGTAGGTGTGACTGAACGGTCCAGCAAGGTTGGCCACCTCACACCCTTGGGAACCATTTAATCCGCAGCAGCATAGAGGCTCACAATTACAGAAATGTATGTTTGTGTCTCTGCTCCCTGAACTCGCTGCACTTCATTTACTCTCCTGGGCTTTAAGCTCTAAGCAGGCAGAGTTCGTGCGGGTGGATTTGTACTACGTAGCCCATGGTTTGGAAGGATAAACATGAGTCCCCCCTAGTCTGCCTGTTCCTTCTGCTCGTTTCTCCCCTGCCACAACTGGCCAATTTACCTTTGCTGTTCATCCAGCCCAGTATTTACAGCATCTGGAAGACTGAGAAACTGATTGAGGGAAAAAAGAAAAGCTACACTAATCTCGAAGGTCTGATTATGCACAGCTTTATGCGAACACTACCACCGCCGCCTTGGAGAACAGGCCTGGAGGATGGGTCGGAGAAAGCTTCACAGTGTAACTTAGCCCATACTTGGTTGTGAATGTGTTGTACAGTTATAACTGGGATTTAACAATCATTACCTATATTATGTGTAGAAACAGGAATTATGACAAAGTACTGAGTGAGGGTCATTTGTTTTCTGCATTGCAATCTCTTTATTTGGTTAAGTGGTCTGAGTCAACAAAGTCATACTCTCCTCTATTTCTGAGAGTTTCTTCAGCATCTGGCTCACCTTGGCCTCATCAAACTCCAGACAGAGAAACTCCGATTCCTACAAAACAAAATTGCAAGAACAATAGTTGAGAAAGATAATGTTTTTTCAGGCATACAATAGAGGCAGGATAGCAAGTTCTGGTTTCCTGGTGATTTGTGTCCCATGTTTCCTTTTTTCCTGGTACCATTTAACCTCAGTAGACCCACAGGTTGGCTACCCACCTACCGAGTGAGAGCAGTACGTGCCGGCAGGCCAGCCAGTGGCTGCCAAAAAGGACGGCTGAGCTCTGCCCACCTTTCCTTTCAATGTAGGCATCAGTTTAGGTCTCTCCTTAGCTGCAGACTTTTGAAAAACTTGTAGAAATTTAATTATAGCTGAGACTTCCACTTTTCTTTCCAATCTGGTGATCCCCAAAGCTGTCGCTGCAGATTCTGGGAACTGCAAAGCAGTTGGAGCCACTGCACAAAGCTCATCACAGACGAGAAACAGATTTTATACACGGGAAAACAAGAATCCAGAACACAGTCTTGTACAGGACATTCCACACTGGAAATTCAGGGGAGTTTTATATTCTCATACACACGGGCTCTAATGTCAATATAAACTTAGAAGCAAGTTAAGAAGCAGCACTGATGTGCTCTGAAAAGTCCTGTCACATCTCAAAAAGTAGTTATTCTCTGACAAGATGGATATTGGGATATAGTAAAAGGATCTTGTCAAAGGCCCAGAAAATAAAGAAAATATATATATATATTAAAAAAGAATATATATAGGTATATATAAATATATCTATATAGAAAAAGTTCAGACGATATGGAACTCATTAATAAACACCAGTGTGAAAAGGCCTCCTGAGATCTCCAGTTCATTAGCCGTACCTACTGGTATGCCTGTAGTTACAAAGTATTTCCTGTAGTGAGTCTGGCAGAAGAAATGTTTGAGATTGCCAGGAGTGTGACTGTGTACTAAAGGTCATTCCAGGTGAAGCACTGTCAGTGATAGAGAAACAAATTGAAAATATTTGGGGATGAAAGTGCAGCCAGTATGAAGGGAGGTTTCCTTATGAGACATTGGAATAGTTTTAGCAATGAGAATCACTGTATATCCACTGAACTTCTATATATAACACAGACCCTGTGGTGCTTATAAAAGCAGAAGGGGATCTCCAGGTCTCATCTGTTTTCTACCAGACTAAAATTTCTATCATTATTTCAAAATACGTTTTTCCATACAATTAGCATCTACCCAAAACACCGCAACTTCAGCCTTTACATTTATGGAATTAATAGTTAATACACAAGGATAAAATCATCGGACAAATTAAACCCATCAACTTTTACTAACCACATTTTAGGACTGTTACAAGTGTTTTCCCCCAGGCATCAGGAATAGTTGTACCTTTTACCCTCTCTTGTTCTCCCAAGGATTCATGGATTGTTTCATTTTTTGTAAGAGCCAAACCAGCAAGTGAGATACGAACCAAAATGTTGACAGAAGCAGCAAGGGGATCATTTTGTGTGCAGTTATCACAAAAGGCACTGCCAGAGGAACACTAATGGAAAAGAAATGAGGTGCCAGAAGTCAGTGATCAGGAAGCCGAGCATGTGGAAGTGCATGAAAAAGTTGTGCCAGAGCTTCTGCCCAGGCATCAGTCACAGAGGGAACTACCACAGTTCAAGGCAGAAATCAAAATGGTGATTTTCGATTGTGGCAGTCTGGTGAAGTTCCCATTGACTGGAAAAGGAGAAACATAACCCCCATTTTTAAAAAGGAAAAAAAGGAAGACCTGGGGAACTACAGGCCAGCCAGTCTCACCTCTGTGCCTGGGAAGATCATGGAGCAGATCGTCCTGGAAGCTATGCTAAGGCACATGGAGGACAAGGAGGTGATTCGAGACAGCCAGCATGGCTTCACCAAGGGCAAGTCCTGCCTGACCAACATAGTTGCCTTCTGTGATGGAGTGACTACATCAGTGGACATGGGAAGGACTACAGACGTTGTCTGTCTGGACCTCTGTAAAGCCTAAAGCCTTTGACACGGTCCCCCACAACATCCTTCTCTCTAAACTGGAGAGGTATGGATTTGATGGGTGGACTGTCCGGTG